TTGTTTGCAAATGTTTGAAATTTATAATTTAGATTTCTCTCTTGAAAACACGGTGGGTGTGGTGGCCTGTAATTCCACAATTAGGAACTAGGCAGAGGAGCATGAATTCAAGAAATGGTTTTTCAAGATTTATTCATATATGCAATATCTGTCCACTTCTCCCTGACCCCCACTCCTCCTCTCCCCCCACCCCTCGCTTCAGGCAGAACCTGTTCTGGCCCTCTTTCCAATTTTGTTGAAGAGAAGACATAAGCAATAGTAAGAAAGACAAAGTGTTTTTGCTAGTTGGAGATAAGGATAGCTATACAGAGAGATTCCGAAGCATTGCTTCCATGCACGGTGTATATAACGAATTGGTTCATTCTACCAAGACCTCTTACTATTTCCTGGTCACCTCATATTGACCTCTGTGTTTTAAGGTTACTATATTAGCTCCTCTACAGTGGACACATCAAACACTTTCAAGTTTTGGGATTTCCTACTTTTCCCTATTCCTCATGTACGTGTTCTCCCCCTAGCGTGTAACCCATGTCCAATAATGTTACTGCATTTGTTTTAGGTCTAAAGTCTGCATATGAGGGAGAACATACGATTTTTGGCCTTCTGAGTGGCTAACTTCACTTAAGATGATGTTCTCCAGTTCCATCCATTTACTTACGAGTGACAAAATTTCATTCTTCTTTGTGGCTGGGTAAAATTCCATTGTGTGTAAGTACCACATTTTCTTGATCCTTTCATCAGTAGTGGGGCATTTTGGTTGTGTCCATAACTTGGCTATTGTGAATGGTGCTGCAATAAACATGGGTGTGCAGATGCCTGTGAAGTAATCTGTGTCTCATTCCTTTGGGTATATCTCTAGGAGTAGGATTGCTGGATCATATGGCAGATCTATGTTTAATTTTTTAAGAAGCCAGTGAAATGTTTTAAACTATATAAGCTGGCACAGTGGCTACACCTATAATCCTGGCTACTTGGGGCAGGATCAGGAGAACTGCAGTTTGAAGCCAGCCCAGCTAATAGTTTGGTGGAGACCTATTTGAAAAAACTAATCACAAAAAGGCTGGCAGAGTTGCTCAAGTGGTAAGAGTACCTGCTAACAGGTGTGAGGCCTGAGTTCAAACTCCACTGCTAAAAAAAAAATTTTTTTCACTATGTTCTGTATGTCCATAACTTTTTTGTTTATTATTATTTCTTTTTCTTGTAGTTTTGGATAGTATGCTTCTTTATTCTAATTAGTTAAGTACTAAATGTCCTGAGCATACAGAGTATAGTTTGTACAGTCTCTGTCTGGAAAACATTCTGTAAGTTTATGCTGGTTCTATTGTTTGTGTGGCTTATTTATATCCTTGTTCCTCCACACATGCCTGGTCGTCAGTGTATGAGTACAGTTAGAAAAGGTTTTGAGAAATAATTTAAGGTTCCAGTTATAATCACAAATGAGTAGCTTTTCATCAATTGACTGTATTTAACTGTTTCCAAACACAGAGTCTGGGCCCAAGCTCCACTTGTGCAGATATGTAGAGCTAAAGAAAACTGAGTGGTGACTGTAGGCTTAGAGTCTGCAGAGATGTGGCCAGAAAAATAACAGAGCCTATCTTGAAACCTCAGAATTTCATGCAAGGCTACATCTGGGGTTTATTGTGTCTCCTTTTCCTGCAAGCCTTGGAGGCCAGAGGTCATAGTTGTTAGTCACATCTATATCTTCATAATGACAACAATTTGTGCATTTTTTTAAGAATAGGATTGCTAAGGTCAAGTTTCAGTGTGATCTATTTCTGAACATTACACTGTCTTAGTATTATGTTAAACTTGATAAGCCTTGATGTCTGATATATAAGGCTTCCATCATCTCTTCTGCTTCCTCCTTTTCGTACTTTGCATTTCCACTTTTTTTTTTAAGAAACATCAAGTTACTATGAAGTAAGAATTAGCAGCTGGCTGCGGTTGTACTGAGATTTATTGAAAAATAAATTCAGGAATTCCAGTTTCTTATTTTGTATGGGTATCCTGGGGAGTGGTGTTAGTAAACCGTAATGAGCATGGGTCACTGCTAGATTCTCTAGCTGCCCATCCTGGGCCTAGACTTTTTGTCACATCAATTCCAAAGTGGACACTTGGTCATCGTAAGTACACAGGAACTCTCAGGGCAAACATGACTATGACTGCAGTCATAGTCATGGCATAGGGATCACTTCTAAGTGATCCTAAACAGGACATGAGACAGTGCCCCTATGCATTTCCTTGATAGGAACAGAGGAGGAGCAGAGACAGGCCAGAACAATGGGGCTTTAAAATAAATTCCAAATACTGAACTAAGTCCTCCTAATATCTCTGAGAACCAACCAAGCAACCGCCTTCCAGCTGACTCCAAGCAAGGACCATACTCGCTGCACTTCCCTGATGGTGCTGGCAAGGAATGGCCTTGAGCAGCAGGCAGTGCTTGGAAACAGCTCAGGTAGGCAGTGCCTGTTTCTGATGGCTAATCAGCAAGCTGCAGGTGCAGGCTGCAGTCTGGGCATCCTCATCACTTTGGCTAGAGTGTGACCTTGCTTCCCTGAGATGAGCCTCCAGGGCACTAAGGAGAAGAATGGAGGAGCAGGATGAGGTGTGGAGTGGGCCATAGGGAGACTTGGAGGGTTGAGTCAGGCAGGAGGTAGAGGAAAAACAGCCAGGGTGTTTATTCCTGGGGGCAAGCGGAAGGATGTGGGCAGTGTTCACCTCCGGATGAAGGGCCGAAATGAGCTCTGGGTTCAACAGCGACTCTCAAGAGGCCGGTCCACATGGAAGTCTGGACATGGGGGGCCTGGGTGGGCTTGGGGGCAGGCCCTGGGCGCTGGGGAATTGGCAGCTCAGATGGGTGGGCAGGCAGAGGAGCTGTGAAGAAGTACTATGCAGAGGGCTGCAGGTAGTAAATAAGAAGCCATCACTACCCCTCCACAGCCTCAAACAAACACATGCACTTAGCTGAAGTTGGTTCCATATTGAACACTTTCTAGAGGCTGAGGAACAGTGCTGGACAAAAACAGACCATCTCTGCTTTGTTGACAAGGCCCAGAGGAGGTCCTGGGTAGACAGAGTGAGCATGGGGAACAAGAGCAGGCAGAATCAGGAGGATCCTGGCTCCTCTCAGTGAGGAGCCACAGGAGAGCCTGGCAGAGAATCGACGTGGCTATTCATTTGGACAAAATCACTACAGGTGGAGAAGAGATCAGAATGAGAAGGGAAGACACAGGTTTCTGGGAAGTGGTGCAGGACAAAGAGGCCAGCAAGCCCATGGAACCCACTGACAATGGATACACACAGGCTGTGACGCCAGTGTAGAGGGATAGGTTCTGGAAGTCAGGCCTGAACCCCAGCCATGCTCTGGTGTCCACAGACCCTGCTGCTTCAGCTGACAGCCTTCTGGTCTCTCTCCTCCGGGCCACTGTTCACCACCTGATGTTCAATGGCAACTCCTCTGCTACTTGTGCTTCATTAAACCTGTCCTGCACCAGAGGCTCTGCCACTCTCTGGGGAGCTGCGCCATACTCTGTGACTATGGGTCACAGCTGCTCCCTCAGGAGGCAAGTTTATTGTTCTGTCTGTGCCAGGGCCAGGGCAATGCCAGTACATACTGCATGCTAAGAATATACTGCTAAAAGGATGAAGCGAGGTCCCGGAGACTCCCTGCTTTGTCTATACACGTCAGCTCTTCTGAAGACTCTCCACACCTGCAGGAACACTGAGATACGAGTGGGGTCCACTAGAAACAGCACACCTGCCCAAGGCCCCATCTCTCAAGCTCTGGCCCATCATGGGTTTGAAGGTTGCTGACTTGTTGGGTCCCAGGGCCACAGAGTGCAGGGGCATCAGGGCAGTGCTGAAGGGACAGTGACCACAGGCTTTCGCCTTACCTGGAGCTGCAATGCGCTGGCGAGAAGGGTAGAGGAGGAACTGACCAGCAGGTCAAGGCCTGAGGAGAGCATCAGGAAGCACCTCCTCCAGGGTATCGGTGCCGTTCCTTAAAGGAGATTTGTTGTAGTCAGGCAGCTCTGTGATTCCTGGGCAAAGAAGAACGGGCATGTGAGAGGTGGCTCCACCTTGCTGCTTCCTGACACCAGCTCTCGGCACCTCACACTCCAAGTGTATTCACAGTTATTCTATCAAGCGTCCATCTCCACGCACCCACCCATCCTTTATGCTACATTCACTCCTCACCCTCTCTGGTGACTGCTCTGTGCCCAGCCTGGAGATGACATGTGTGTGTGTGTGTGTGTGTGGTGTGTGTTGTGTGCGGTGTGCTGGGGTAGGGAAAGGCAGGGAACAGACCCTGGCCAGCCTTCCAGAGGAAGGAGCTTGTGCTGGGCAGAACAGTAGTCCCTGTTGGTCAAGAGAGGATGGGGCCATGAGAGAAGGTGCATAGAAGGAGCAGTCACTTCCTGCTGGGGAATGAGCAAACTGCTACACACCTCCCTACCAAGGGCCCCTAAACCGGCCAGACTTGAGGGTGGGGGTGCCTAAGATGCGAAGCACACAGAAAGCTGCTCAATGTCATTCTCCTGGGAAAGGGAGAGCCATTCAGCAGCTCCCCATGATGCAGCCCACAGCCCTGTGGAACAAAACCCCAAAAGGCTGAGATCTACCCCATGGACACAGACCACCCATACAATACACACCTCTCACCAAGATCAGGCCAGATCATTAAGTCCAGGTATACAGACTCCAGCAATTAAAGACCTCTGCTCTATATAACGTGGAGAAACCCCAACAGCTCAACACATTCAGAGCCTCACACTAGGACATGCAGCTCCTCCTTTTTCTGGGGCCAGCTACAAAACAATCCCCAATCTCAGACTCCTCCCCCCAAAAGAGGCTGAGCCTTCATGCCCAGAAACACAAGCTCACACCCAGGGACTAGCTTAGAGATGTCTTATCCTTCAGTCTGACCCCTGCACAAGCCAGCTTGGACAGTCTATGCCTTGAGCTTCAGACAACTTCCCCAAAGCCCAGCTGCTTCCCACTGGAGACAACACTTTCCTCTTGTTCCCATCCAGCTCAGAAACTTCACCATGAGGAATATCAATCCCAAGGTACCCAGAATACCGGAGAAGATTCCAAGTCTCACCATAGGTCAACGCCCTGGTCATACTGGCGGGCACCATACAGGAGCTCCGGAGCTCGGTACCACCTAGGGAGAAGAGAGTTTGCTGTCACAGCCAGGCTGATCTGCCAGAAGCTGCCCCAGAAGTTCACCCCAGTCTCACAAGCCATGCCTAGACAGAAGGCACAGCAGCATCTCTTTCCCAGTGAGAGGGTTAGAGGGGATCCAGACCCCCCTACCTGGTAGCCACCTGGTGTGTATAGAGCCGGCTGCCATCTGGAAAAAAGACCCGGGCCAGGCCAAAGTCAGCTATCTTGAGCTGGCCTGAGGCACTGATAAGTAGGTTGGCAGGTTTCAGGTCCTGGGGATACAAAAGGAGCCATCAGTCCAATATCCCCCCACAGGACTTTGAGACAGGAGGGATTGGCAGGTTGACCACCCAGGGCAGACCACACCTTTCTCTTCAAATGCCCCACCATACCTTCTTCAAGGGCTAGGGCTAGTCCCGTCCCGTCCCTTCCCCCCCGACCCATGCTGGAACTGACCCGATGCACGATGTTGTTGGCATGGCAGAAGGCAACACCCTTGAGCAGCATCTGTAGGTAACTCTTGACCTGTGCTGGGGCCAGTGGCCTCTGTGCATGGCGCACCACCTCAGCCAGGTCTGATAGCATGAACTCAAAGGCCAGCACAAAGCCTGCACCATGTGGGAATACAGCCTTCAGCTGCACCACCTGTGGGTAGGCATCCTGTCAGCCCCCAGACTTATCTCACCAGACCTTCCCTGCGAACCTCTAAAACCTCACAGGCAAGCGGAGAAAGCAACACAGGTCTGAGCTCAGAGCCAGGGAGCTCAGCACTTTGCTGTCTAGAGACAAGGTGGTCCCCACTCTAACGCCATTAAACTCAGGGAAAAGAGTGAAGACGGTCACTTAGTGGAAAGCATCTGGCCAGCCAACCAGCCCACTCCTGAAAACCTTCTGCAGAGATACGTAAGAACGAGACTGCCTACTGCTTTCTCTAGGATTATTAAATCCCCAAACCCAGGGAAGGGCACCTGAGTCTTAGTAAGTGGAGAAAGGGTTATTTATTTAGATGGGGTGGGTTCAGGGGAGGGCTTCAGGAGGAGCCAGTTAAGTGGAGATCTGGGAAGAAGCTCTGGGTAGGGCAACAGCAAGGCCCTACAGTTGGCATAGGAGGCTAGGGGAACATGAGAATGGGATCCCCTTCAGGGAAGTATATGTCTACTCTGTTCTGTGCTTCTGGAGCCTAGATCAGTGCTGGTCACCGGAAAGATGCCTAAAAAGTTGTTTTAAGTGGATGACAGTGACCTAGGCTTGGGTCAAATCTGGAGTATATTTAAAAAAAGAAGCTGGGACTAGTGGCTCATGCCTGTAATCCTAGCTATTCAGGAGGCAGAGAGCCCAGGCAAATAGTTTGTGAGACCCTATCTCAAAAAAACCCCAGCACAAAGAAGTGCTGGTGAAGTGGCTTAAGGTGTAGGCCTTAAGTTCAAACCCCAGTTCACCAAAAGAAAAAAATAAAAGGAACGGGAACTTCAGGACTACAGACCACCAGATGTGGAGACCACATGGTTACATCGTACCAGCTTTCTCCACCTACCCCACGTATAAACTGTCTGGAAGCCTGTTAGTTTCCTCAAAAAATTAAGAATGACCTGATTGCTGTTCTTCTGATTTTGCTGGTAGTACAGATCAAAACTCATGCATATATTCATATAATATACAAATTATAAAGAAAAAAGAACACATGAGGTACATTCTATCAGACTTTACAGCACATATGGCACAGATACACATTTATATAAATATTTTCATACAAAACTAGAGTGACACATGAAGTCTTCTAATAGGCTTTTGTCACCAAATACATCATAACATCTCCATAGGACAACAAAGATGATCACAGAGCCCTAACTTTGTCACTCTGTGGGAAGCTGAGCACATTCTCTATCCCAACATGGATAAAAAGAGCACTATAAAGAGTAATCGTGCTGGGATAGAAGATACTCCTCCTCTTGTCTGCACGGCCCCTCTGTCACCACCCACATCACACCAGGTGGCTAGGTCCTGTCACTCTGTCTTCCTCCATTATACTTAAGTTCTCAGGAGCCAGAGGAGACCAGTTCCTCTCTGTGCACCAGCAACTCTGCACAGGGCAAGCATTTAGGAGGGCCCCAATAGAAGACTCTGGATTTCTCAATTAAACCCATGCAGCTGGTGGGAACTCTTCTCCTTGCCATTAAATGTTTTGAGAAAAGTGATGAATTGAATAAACGATGAACTACATGAAGCAAAAGTGAGAAATGAATTAGGTGAACGAGGGTGAACAAGAGAACAAAAAGGGCATATTTATGTCAGCCAGTGGCTCACACCTGCATTTCTAGATAGCTGGAAGGCGAAGATCAGAAGAATCGCAGAGTCAGCCCCAGCACAAAAAAGCAAGGCCTTCTCTCAAAAATATCCACCACAAAAAGGGGCTGATGGAGTGACTCAAGGTAGACTGGCCTGCCTAGCAACTGTGAGGCCCTGAGTTCAAACCCCAAACCCCAGCACCACCCAAAAAAAAAAAAAAAAGGAAGGCATAAATACGGGGTAAGGAGGCAGATGAATGAGCAGAGGGGGTGTGGGTGAATAGAAGGCAGGGAGAAGTGGTTGAGTGAAGCAGCACAAGAAAGTGATGCCTCAGAACCTGCTCCTCCCTGCTGTTGCCCACCGAGCCCAGTCCCCACTCACATACGGATTGTCCTCTATCTCCTGCAGAGCCTTGATCTCCCGCAGGGCCTGGTTGGGGACGCCCTCCTCCAGCCGCCGCAGGGCCACCTTCTTGAGGGCAACGATCTCACCAGTCTGCAGGAAGAGCGCAGACACTGCCGGTTGAGAGAAGAAAGGGAGAGAGGGAGGAGCGAGAGAAGAGGGAGACGGGTACAGACACACACACTCTCCATTTGCCCTTTCCTTTGGTCGGGAGAGATGGAGAATCATGGCGGAAGAGACGCGACGCCATCCTGCAGCGTGCGAGGCAGCCGGTCTGGGACTATCCAGGGACCCAGCGGCACCGCGCTGGGTAAACAGGGGCCACAGTGGGGTGGGACGGGGGCCGGGACAGTGACACCAAGGCAGGCCAGAGAGGTCGGGAAATGGGCAGGTTTTAGTGTCTGAGTGGCGGCAGCTTCGGAGTGGGGGCGGGAGAAGGAGGGAGAGGAGGGAGAGAGGAGGGAGAGGAGGGAGAGAGGAGGGAGAGGAGGGGAAGAGGAGAGGAGGGAGAGAGGAGGGAGAGGAGGGAGAGAGGAGGGAGAGAGGAGGGAGAGGAGGGAGAGGAGGGAGAGAGGACAGGAGGGAGAAGAGGGAGCGGAGAGAGAGGAGGGGAGAGGAGGGGAGAGAGGAGAGAGGAGGGAAGAGGAGGGAGAGGAGGGGAGAGGAGGGAGAGAGGAGGGAGAGAGGAGGGAGAGAGGAGGGAGAGAGGAGGGAGAGAGGAGGGAGAGGAGGGAGAGAGGAGGGAGAGGAGGGAGAGGAGGGAGAGAGGAGGGAGAGGAGGGAGAGAGAGGGAGAGGAGGGAGAGAGAGGAGGGAGAGGAGGAGAGGAGGGAGAGAGGAGGAGAGAGGAGGGAGAGAGAGGGAGAGAGGAGGGAGAGGAGGGAGAGAGGAAGGAGAGGAGGGAGAGAGGAGGGAGAGAGGAGGAGAGGAGGGAGAGAGAGGAGGGAGAGGAGGGAGAGAGGAGGGAGAGGAGGGAGAGGAGGGAGAGGAGGAGAGAGGAGGGAGAGAGGAGGGAGAGGAGGGAGAGAGGAGGGAGAGAGGAGAGAGAGGAGGGAGAGGAGGGAGAGAGGAGGAGGGAGAGAGGAGGGAGAGAGGAGGGAGACAGGAGGGAGAGGAGGGAGAGAGAGGAGGAGAGGAGGGAGAGGAGGGAGAGGAGGGAGAGGAGGGAGAGAGGAGGGAGACGAGGGTCCTCTGCCGGCGTGGCCCTCGCAGCCCTGCCTCACCTCTACGTGCTTGGCCTTGAACACGATGCCGTGAGCGCCCTCCCCAATGCGGCCCAGGATGCAATACTGGTCCATGAGCGCCACGGAGCGTCCCAAATCCCACCCTTTCTCACTCCCCGCAGTTCCGGACGCGGACGCGGTTGGTTGCCTGGCAACGGAGAGGCCTCAGGGACAAGGGACAAGGGATCCGAGGGACGGAAGCTGAGTTCGATCAGGCTCTCGAAAGCGCCTTTCCCTAGCCCTGCGCAGTCGCGCTGCCGCGAGCTCGAATCCACCAGGCGTCAGGGCAACTGCAGCGGAGGGCCACTGAGTAACGGCAGCCACCGCGCCCTTGCTACGTCATCACGCCGTCACGTGACGAGGAACGCTGGGGCGGAGGAGGCGGGGCCTCCGGGGAGGAGGCGGGGCCTCCGGGTGAACCTGTAACTCCAGGTGCCAGGTTCTACAATTGCAGGTACCTTCTTCTAGCTGAGACCCAGAGCCCATGATGAAGGGTGACAGGCCTAGGGCTGAGTCATGACGCTAGGGTCATCTGGGCTTCCCGACTGTCCACAGATTACACGTATCCATAGCTTTTTAGAAGGGCATACTCTGTCCCAGAAAGAACACCAGAAGTAGCCCTTAGGCTTCTAAAAGATGACCAAGCTGGACACAGTGAGGTACATCTATCAGAATCCTGGCACTAGGGAGGTGGAGGGAGAACGATTTCCAGTTCAGCCCTAGCCTAGGCGGCACAAGGGGTCATCGCCGCAGTCCATTACATACTTACTTTAATACACAATAAGACAACTGCAAATTCCCAGCTATTGGATGACTAAGGATCCCAGGTCAGTGGGAAAACAAGCACTTTGGCAGATTGGTGGTGGCAATGTTAAAAATGCATATATCCTTAGACCCTGGAAGGCCACTTCTAGTAATTTTCCTAACATATGTTTCACATAGGTTGAATTACATTTGCCAATTTATTTGTTGAAGCATTGTTTGAATGCTAAAGAGATTGGAAGGAACAGAAATGTCCATCAGTACACGACTAAATTGTAGAAAATGTACCAAACAGATTATTATATGGCCTTAAACATAAGTGAAGAAGCTTTTCAGGTACTCTGAGAAGATTTTAAAGACAGATTATTAAGTGAAAAAGGCAAGAAGCAGAACAGGGGTCTATGGAGTGACACCAGCTGTGTAAACAAAAGGAGAAAAGAACACAAATAATCCTCTTTCCTTTTACAAACTATCCAGAAAGTCACACAAGATCTCCCGATTGTGACTTTCTGATGGAGGAGGGCTAGAAGGATGGGAGAGGGAATAGGGGCAGACTTTTCCCTAGGTCTCTTTTTATTCTTTGTGTTTTTAACTGTGTAATTTGTTAATTCTTCAAAGAAGTAAATATTTCTGGCTCAGAAATTCCACTTGTGTTCGCAATTGCAGAAAAATTCCATAGTGTCAACATTATTCGCTCTGTTTGATGATAGCAGAAACAGAAAACACTCCAAATCCCCAAAGGAAGAATTGCTGAATACATCTGGAAGTGTGTCAAAATGGAATCATTTATGGGTATTGAAATAGAAAGTATATAGGCCCAAAACTGCCATGGCGGAGGATGTGCTGGGACACACGGGAGGTCCTGAGGTTCAAGGGACACCACTACGAGAAGAAAAAGCCCTTACCAAGGCAGCAGAGGATGGACTTTCTTCACCTGGATCTTAAGAGCGCTCTGTATTTGGTTAGGCTCTCAAATAAAATCGTTATGCAACTTGGAAGAAAGTATCATTCCAGCTGGGAAAGATGACCTAGAGCGCTTCCAACTTAGGATAAATGGTTTAAAAAAAAAAAAACCACAAAGAAAGAAAGTCTTTCCATATTTTATACTCATATCAGAAGATTTTTAAAAAGCAGGCTGACTGTTTGAAACTTCTTTTACTTTTAAGTTCAGAACTTCATCCTTTACAGATATTACAGAACAAGTGTAAAATACACAACTAGATAAAAATAGTGAAATTTTCTCTTTGGTGGAACTAGAGTTTGAACTGAGGGCTTGGCAGGCACTCTACTGCTTGGGCCACACCTTCAGTCTATTTCACTCTAGTTATTTTAGAGATGGGAGTCTCATGAACTCTTTGCCCAGGCTGGCCTTGAACCTTGATCCTCCCAATCTCAGTCTCCCAAGTAGCTAGGATTACAAGCATGAGCCACCGGTGCCCAACTAAAACAGTAAAATGTATCAGGAAGTTCAAACTCTGTGTGATGTCCTGGGTGTATCCAAGTCAGCCACTTCTGGAGTTGCACTTGTGCTAACCCAAGTGGGAGCAAAGGTGGGGGGCGGTCCTTTCTAAAGTTCAGAAAAATCATATGGGAAATCCACTGCTGCAAATTGATTGAAATCCAAAATAGGTGACTGGACACCAGTGGCTCACCCCTGTAATCCTAGTTTACTCCAGAGGCAAAGATCAGTAGGATCTTGGTTTGAAGCCTGCCTGGGCAAATAATTCAAGAGACCCTATCTTGAAAAAACTCAACACAAAACAGGGCTGACGGAGTGGCTCAAGTAAAGTGCCTGCCTATGTGAGGCCCTGAGTTCAAATCCCAGTATCACCAAAAAATACTAGGAGCCTGCCTGAGGCTCTGAAGTGTTGAGGTTGCAAGTGTGGAGCACCATGCCTGGCAGTACCTCCATTTCTCTTCATTCCATGGTAATGCATTTTTTTGTGCTGAATAATTTGTCTGGTTGTACAACAGTTTTTCTCCACTCACCTGCTGAAGGACATCTAGATGTCTTGCACGTTTTGACACTTATAGATGAAGCTGCTGTCACCATCCACGTGCAGGTTTTTGTGTGGACACAAGTTTTCAGCTCATTTGGGCAAATACCAAGGAGCATAAATGCTGGATGGTATGCTAAGAGTGTGTGTGCTTTTGTAAGAATCTGCTAAACTGTCTTCCAAAGTGACTGTATTTTGCATTCCCAACAGAAATCATGGGAATTTCTTCTGCTCCAATCCTTACCAGCATTTGGTATTAGCCGTCCTTTGGATTTTCTTCCTTCTTGTAGGTGTGTAGGAATAACTAGTTGTTTTAATTTGCAATTCCCTATAATTAATCATAGTAGGAATATGATTACTGGCTATCTGTATATCTTCTTTGGTGAGGTATTTGTACAAATATTTTACCAATGTTTTTAATTGAATTGCATAACAGTCCTTTTTAAGATATGTCTTTTGGGGCCAATGGAGTGACGTAAGTAGTAGAGCATCTGTCTAGCAAGCATGAGGCCCTGAGTTCAAACCCCAGTACCACCAAAGGAAAACAACCCAACAACAACATGTCTTTTGCAGCCAGGCATGGTGGTACAAACCTGTAATCCCAGCATTCAAGAAGCTGAGGCAGGTGGCCAGCCTGAGCTACATAAGGAGACCCTATCTCAAAAAAAAAAAAATCTAAAACAAAAAGTGTCACCAGAAAACACATATGGACATTTGCCCAACTGTGCCAAGCACCAGAGAGGTTCTTATCAAGGGCCCTACCTGATCATTTCTGTGTCCTGTGCCAACTTATACCTAATATTACTTCTGTGCTTCAGAAGGCTTAGTTTCTGAACTGAAGCATTAGGCTTGCTAAGTAAACATGCAGGAAAACTGTCACAGACGAATGAAGCTAACTTTCCATGTTTCCTTACTGACTGGAGAAAATGAACAAGAGCTGATCCTCTGTTCCAGACTACACCAGGAACTTTATCAGTAAAGGGCTTCAAGAGAACAAACCAAGTTCTAAACACTTTTTGAGTATGAGTCTTGGATCTTGTCCTCTTCCTTTTTTTTTTTTTGACAGCACTGGGGTTTGAACTCAGGGTCTCACACTTGCTAGGCAGGTGCTCTACCACTTGAGCCACTCTGCTAGAGCCCTCTTCCCTTTGCTGATGTTGCTTACTCAGATGATATGGAAATAGAATACAGACATCTACTGAGTTGGATGTTTATTACATTTTATCTTCAAACATTTGAAATGGGATGTAGAGTTGGATCCTTTAGAAACTATAATTCAGTGGTTTTCATTGTATTCAGTTGTACAACCATAACCACTACTTAATTCCAGCATATTTTTATCAACTCGAAAAGAGATCCCATGTTTGTTAGTGATTTTCCCAATTCCCACCTCCCCCTAGTTCCTAGAAAACAATAATACAGGTGGCTACTCCTAGCTACTTCTAGCAACTCAGGAGGCAGCGATAAGGAGGCTCATGCTTCAAAGCCAGCCAGGGCAAATAAGTTGCGAGACCCTATCTTGAAAAAAACCCATCACAAAAAAGAGCTGGTGCAGTGGCTCAAGTAGTAGAGTGCCTACCTAACAAGCATGAGGCTCTGAGTTCAAACCCCAGTACCACCAAAAAAAAAAAAAAACAACAAAAAATTGAATGTTGAATGTTTAATCTGTTGGATTTGTTGTAATTATTTACAGGTAGGATTTATATCGGCCAATTTACTCTTTTGTTTTCTACATTTTTATGTTTTTTTCACTTTTGCCTGTTACTGCTTTTTTGTGCTAAGTAGATTTTCTTAGCATGTCCATCTTAATTTCCTTGTTACTCCTTTTACAACATTAAAAATTATTTTTCTTGTCTCATGAATGGTGGAGCATGCCTGTAAATCCCAGCACTCAGGAGGCTGAGGCAGGAGGATTTCAAGTTCAAGGCCAGGCTGGGCTGGGCTACACAGTGAGACCCTGTCTCAAAAAAGTATTTTCATAATGTCACTCTGGGGATTAAAATTTATGACTTTGCTTATAACAATCCGATTTTTACTACCAACTTAATTTTAATAGCATGCAAAAACTTTGCTCCCATGTAGCTCTGTTCTTTCCACTCTTTTGTGCTGTTCCTGTCATACAAATTAATTTTCATATGTAGTGTGTACATTAACAAAGACTTAGTCTTCTATGCAGTTGTCTTTTTTTTTTTTTTTTTGGTGGAACTGGGCTTTGAACTCAGATCTTCATGCTTGAAAAGCAATGTTCTAGTGCTTGAATCACACCTCCAGTCCATTTTGCTCTGGCTATTTTGGACATGGGGCCTCAAGAACTATGTTCCCATGATCCTCCTGATCTCAGTTTTCCAAGTAGTCGGGATTACAGGATGAGCCATGGCGCCTGGCTTTGTTTTTTTTTCCTCTAGTGTGGTGGTATTAGGGATTGAACTCAGGGTCTGGGGCTTGCAAAGCAAGTGCTAAAGTACTTGAGTCATGCTCCCAGTTCTTTTACTTTTTCACTTTGTTTTTCAGATAGGGTC